TGTAAAATAGTCTTTGTACTTTTTATTATAATATAAATCTAGTACATGCTACTTTATTTTTAAATACCTCCTTGGGATTTTAAAGTTCTATGCAAATCTTTTGCCATTTAAAATGGCTGAGAAAAGTATACAAGGGAAATTCATTATTTAATAACTACAATTATACTTTATGTGTGAATACCTCTGGCTAGTCACCCACTATAATTTACAGGCAAAACTGCAGAGTTAATAGCAGGAAAAGGAAAAGATAAAACCCAACTCAACAAAATTTTCTTCTATAATAATGTTAATTCATAAGCGTATATTAACCTGATATCTGATCATGAAAGTTGTTGTTTGTATGATATTGTTTTATTTAAAAATACACAACTGCAGGGTCAGAGACCTATAGGACTTTATCTCTCCCTCTTCTTTCATAAGATCTGAATTCCAACATGATAGATTTTTTTGGACCATAAAATGATTCTTGTTCTTAAAAAATGACTATTAAACATATAAACTCCAGTGGAAGGTTTACATTTTGACTCTTCATTGGTTAACACTTAACAGTGATGATAAGGCCTTGTATCTACAGGATACCAGTTACCAAAGGTCAAAGGAGTCAGTTATAAACAAAAGAAACTAGGTAGTGTTGGAAAATAGTAAATCAAATTATTTTCACAGCAACTTATAAAATCAGTTTAGTTTATCTTTTAATTAACAACTGCACTATAGAAATACCTTATTTTTTTGCTGTGCAACTATTATTCAGTTTGATACAGTCATTCCTCAGTATCTTTGGGGAATTGGTTCGAGGACCCTCATTGATACCAAAATCAGCATACACTCAAGTCTCTTATGTGAAATAGCATAGTATTTGCATATAACCTATGCAATCCTCCCATATACTTCAATTATCTCTGGATTACATATAATAGCTAATCTATGTAAACAGTTGTTATATTGGTTTATATTCTCATTAATTTTTATTCTTGTCTTTTTTTCCGATATTTTCTATTTGTGGTTGGTTGAATCTACAAATGGGGAACCTGTGAATATGATGACTGACTATACTTTTAAGGTTTGAGGCTATTTTAGCCTTAGTACCTGTAGTACAAGGGTATTTATCATCAAATTTTACTGTGAGAAGAAAATTATCTGCTCATTTTCTGACACCTTTCTCTAAGAGGCTTCAGCTATCAGAGAGATGTTTGCTTTAGATAGGTTCTATCTAAAATGCAGTATCTCATTCACTGTGATAAACCTGCTACTTCCACACACACGTCTTTTCAGCAGACAATAACAGTAAAATCCTTATCTAGCCCAATACATGGTGTATTTCTAACATAGCCAGTAACTAAAGTTAACTTAAATGAGAAAAAATATATAATTACAAATGAATATAATTGGCAGCGCAAATTTGGAGCAGAAAGTGCTGTCAAGCAAGCAGGTATATGAAAAAGTGCTAGACATCATTAATCGGCAGAGAAATGTAAATCAAAACTACAATGAGATATCATCTCACCTCAGTGAAAATGGCTTTTCTCCAAAGACAGATAATAACAAATGGTGGTGAGGATGTGGAGAAAAGGGAACCCCTGTACACTGTCAGTGGGAATATAAATTAGTGCAATCATTATAGAGGACAGCTTGGAGGTTCCTCAAAAAACTAAAAATAGAGCTACCATTTGATCCAGCAATCCTACTACTATGTATATACCCAAGAGAAAGGAAATCAGGATATAAAAGACATGTCTGCACTCTCATGTTTATTGCAGCACCATTCACAATAGCCAAAATTTGGAAGCAACCTAAGTGTCCATCAATAGATGGATGGATAAAGAAAAGGTGGTACCTATACACAATGGAGTACTATTCAGCAAAACATTATATCTTGTCATTTGCAATAACATGGATGAAACTGGAGGTCATCATGTTAAGGGAAATAAGCCAGATACAGAAAGACAAACATGACATGTGGATGCTAAACATCATTTGTAGACGCTAAAATTTAAAATAATTTAATTCATGGGAATAGAGGGTGGAAGGATGGTTACCAGGGGCTAGAAAGAGTAGTAGAGGCTTAGGGGGTGATAAGGATGATTAATGGGTACAAAAAAATAGAAAGAATAAATAAGATAAAGTATTTGAAGCACTACAGGGTGACTACAGTCAACAATAACTACATTTTAAACTAAGTAAAAGAATATAATTGGCTTGTTTGTCACACAAAGGATAAATGCTTAAGGTAATGGATACTTCATTGATCCTGATGTGATTATTATATATTATATGCCTCTATGAAAATATTCCATGTACCCCATAAATACATACACCTACTATGTACCCACAAAAATTAAAAATTAAAAAAGAAGTACTACTTAGACTAGTGTTCCAATTCTCCAGCGGTACATGATATTTCTAAATATATTTTATCAGTGAATATAAATGATGAGAGTCCTTCCTTACAGTTTATGATTAAGTTAGAGCTCCACTAAAATCAGATTTTCTGATAACATCAAATTTCAACAAATTTTTCTTCATGTCGCATTCAGGTAGTTGTTTACTTTCTCCATTTAATATTGCTCTTATACTTTGTACTGCTAAAATATTGTGTGCTTTATCGACAAAGAAAAATTTGAAGGGCCTTAAAATGCACTTCTTTATATTTTATGTAAACATTTCTCTTTTATCTTTTGCATGACATATTCTCTCTACTCGGAATCTCTAAAAAAAATTGGATGATGTGGAGAAATCATCAGGGCATACAAAATATGACAGTCATCATTTAAAATTTTAAAATTGTTTAAAATTCAAAATCTCTTCAATCTTCTTTTTTAACTTAAGGATCAAGCAAATTGGTATCACCACATGTTAAAGTTGTACTTTAATTAATATTAAATGAAATTTAAAAACTGGAGGGTGGATTTAAAAACAGGGAGTATTGTAAAGGAAAAAATAAAAAGTTGATGATAGCAGTTCCCTTTCCCCTGTTTACCACCTACAGTCACCCCCATCATTATGGCCAAAGCTTTGTAGGCATGATTCTCAAAAGCAACCAGTAACCAAGAACCTAGCACTATTTTTTTTTTTTTTTTGGCTCCTTATTCAGTTACCTCTACCTCACTCCATGTTCACTAGCAGGGCAAATAACAGTAAGTACTTTTTAGCGAATATTAATATTAATTAATTACTTAATATTAATATTAACTTAATGAGTATGATTTTCTAAATCATAAATTATAAGCAATAATAAAAGCATTGTGATAAAAATATAGGTAAACCTATGTCTCTCTATATATACATGTATGTATATATTCTTACATATATAAGAATGCTCCTAATTATAAGAATATATGCTCTTATGTATGTAAGCATAGATAAGCTTACATATATATAAGCATATATATGTAGGCATTCTTATGTAGCAGATAGATTATATTCTATAAACTATTATGACATAGAACTTTTAGATGAGGTTGACGGAAAGATAAGTAGGATATTGTTTATATATAAAATCTAAGTACTTTCTTTACATATCTTTGAAGAAATCCTCAGTAGTAAGGCTCAAAATTATTTTTTCACAAGAAGAATTTCCTCTAAACAACCATTTATTATCTATTCTGCAAATAAAATTTTTCAAAGAAGGAAAATTCAAAAGCAATTTAAAATTATCATCCTTAAGGTGATTCAAAAATTAACTGAAGATATTTACATCATTTTTATTCTGTATTCACTATCTGCCTAAATGATGTCTGGTAAATAACATTATCTACTTACATAATTCCAAACCCCATGTCTATACTAATTTCACTCACATCACACTATATGTGACATCTCTAATGAATTCTGAGGTACATATGATTCACATATCCCTGTGGCTATTGCTTTGATTTTAAATGAGCATGGTCATTTAAAATTCTTTCAAATGAGGATCTGTTGAATGACTGGTGAAGAATATAGGCTCTGGGGTCAAACTGCCCAGGTTCAAAGACTAACAGCTTTATCATTAGTTCCTATGAAGATTATTTGAGATGATATTCATAAAGTTCTTAAAATTGTGCCTGCATAAGTGTTACCTATTTATTTGTTGACTGACAACATGCTACCAAGGAAAATGTCATAGTCATTCATCTCCTACATTCCCACAACCAATCAGTCACCAACTCATTAATTCTGCCACTGTAACATTTCTTCAATTTATCTCTTTTTTTTTTTCATTAAAAACACCTGAGTTCAGGTTTTTATAATCTCTTCTCTAGAAATCTACAAATTGTTAACTGATCTCCAGTTTTCTAACAGCTACATTCTCACATATATCATTAACACTTTCATCAGATTCCTCTTCCAAAGTCATGAATAACAACATGAGACTCCTCTTCAGTGTTCTCTTAATGGTTCCCTATTGCTTACAAAAAAAAAAAAAGTGTGGCATTCAAAGCCTCTGTACTCTGATTCTACATTCTTTTAAACAAGTTTACTTTTTGCTATATTTAAAATTCTACTGTTTTCCCTAAACCTTTTAAAACTTTTCAGACATTATCCTCAGATACTCTTTTTTCAGAATAACCTCCATTTAAAATTTGCAAATTTTTTAAGGTCCAGCATAAATGCCACTCAGTAGAGAAATTCCCACCTCCCATAGTAGACACTACTAAGTATTGCCTCATTCTAAGTCAAACAATTATGTTACCTGCATCTCTATTATGAAGGTTAATTGAGTACATATAGCTTCTCCCAATAGAGCATAAAACTCCTGGAAAGCCATTTTATCATCTTCATTTTTGCTTCTGTCACAGTGTTTTGCACATAATGAATATATAATTTCCTCTCTTTAGCCCTGAATTTTTATTCATTAAAAGGAGAAGACCATAAACCAAAGTGACATTTTAAAAGAGTCATATGAAACTATATTTTCTAAGTCTTTTAATAAAAATGTATCCTTTTATAAATGTTTGGATAAAACTTTTCCTTTCAAAATCATTCTTCATTCATTTCCTTCATTCTTATCTGTTTGTCAGTGCTGCTCAGAAATTGGAGGCCAGCTTAGTATTTTTACTTACTAGGTAAGTTTGTTTCATATTTTTAATTTGTTTTGTGTTTTAGTTTTAAAATTCTATTTAAAATTTATATAATACTTTTTGCATCCATTTAATAAGTAAAGAATGAAAGAACTCAAATGGCTGTGAATCTCTTTTTCATAATTTCCTTTACACCCCAAAGAAGCCCTTTCATTTTGCATAGTAAGATCTGTATTTTTTTCTGCAGAAAGTTTTCTTTTGATTAACATTTTTATCCAAATCATTCCTTTTTCTTCTTCATGAATGCCTGTAATTCTAAGGTATAATCTTCATTATCATTTCTCCATATTTATCTGATAATGTACATTCATATTCCTTGCCCGCTCCCTTTGGTCTGCATCCTGAGAATGTTTTTCAGGTCTTTACTCTGTAACACTGATTCAGTTTTATCAATGTCACTTTTGCTTTCAACCTGTTGTATAAAGATTTCACTTCTACAGTTACATTAATATTTTTGGTTCATTGTTGTTTTGCAATTCTATGTTATCTTTCTCCACCATTTAAAAATGACATAGCTTTTTGTCTTTATTATTTTCCATTTCTTATTTTGTCATTTTTTTCTGTTCATGTTACATAAGTACTCTTAAATCTTATTGTTAGGGTGACCATACATCTTGATTTAGGCAGTAAATCCTGGTTTCTTGCTATTATCCTAGTGTAATTATTAATAGTACCCGTTTTTATTCTCAAAAGTGTCCCACCTGATATAAATTATATGATCATCTGATGAATGTCAGCATGTATTTTCTAAAAGTTTCTTTTCATCTTTTTACTAATAAGTGTCAACAGTTTTTTTGTGAATATTAATTAGGTTGATGTTTCCTTTCTCACTGTTTATTTTTCTTGTTCTTCGGTATTGTTTGAAAGATCTATTTGTCTTAATGTTTACTCATTCATGAATGACAAGAGATCCATAGAGAACATTTGTGCACAGAATGTGTATTTGACCTTAGCTCTGTTCATAGAATTTATTATCCCTTTGTTATTTTAACTATTTCTGTACCTGCTGACTATACCCAAATTGTTAAAATTATTGCCCTCTGCTTTGCAAATGCAAGTGCATTCTGTAGTATGTGTTTTGTCAGAATACGCTTCCACCTTTGTATTGTGAATGTGAATTCTTTCTGAAAAATCCCAAGAATAGAATAATTTCTCCTTTAATGGGAGAAATCTCCCAACTTGTCTTACTTTCAGGTGGTAGACATATTTCATAAAGAAATACGTAATGTACCCGTACATATACATTTGTATATCCAGAATCAGAGTCTCCTTGTTAGTTATTCCCATGCATTATAAATGTGAATTATCTTCAGTTATATCTCATGGTTTAGCTATACATTTTAAGAAAGTCAGAAAAATAATGAAATAACCATCAAGAAAAGGAAGGAAAAGTGCCTGAAATAATTTTCCAATGCTTTTTAGCTTCCAAGACTTTATCATTATCTGTTCCAGTGTAATAAAATGCTCCCTGACTTCAGATTTCTCTGAGAACTTTCCTTCTCAGGAAGGAGGAAGGAGCATTTAAAGACAACAAAGAGAAAGAATGAGCACAATATGAGCAAAATAAAATGTTCATGAAATGGACATATGGAATAAGAACCTTACTTGACAAAGAATATTTTTATCTAAGTCATTATATGCTTCAGGTTTTTCCTCCCAAATAATCTCTGGTATCTAGTTCATAGCACTTCACTTCTTCTAAGTTGATTGCCCCCATGTATCAATGGACCTTTAAGGACTTTTTTCCTTCTCTTATTTATATATCAGGAAATGGAAGCACAAAGAACCCCAATAAAACATTCAAATCTCCTTAAAAGTTTGGCATTGTCAAAGCCTTCAACTATGCTTCATATTGATTGTACTGAGACATTTTCTGTTGTATCCCCTGATAACCAAAACTTTTGTCCCCCTCTAAAGAAGTTCTATAGGCCGGGTGCAGTAGCTCACGCCTGTAATCCCAGCACTTTGGGAGGCCAAGGTGGGCGGATCACGAGGTCAGGAGATCGAGACCATCCTGGCTAACACGGTGAAACCTCGTCTCCACTAAAAATACAAAAAATCAGCCAGGCATGGTGGCGGTTGCCTGTAGTCCCAACTATCCGGGAGGCTGAGGCAGGAGAATCGCTTGAACCCAGTAGACAGAGGTTGCAGTGATCAGAGAACATGCCACTGCACTCCAGCCTGGGCAACAGAGCACAGCAAGACTCAATCTCAAAAAAAAAAAAAGAAAGAAAAAAGAAGTTCTGTAATAAAATTTCAATGAAAACGTTAGAATCTCTGAGTGTTCCCTTCAAAACAGGATCCTTCTTTTCCTCCCAAGTTCTCAAGAAGTTAAGATGAAAGAGTTAATGTGAAGCCAAACTATTGCCTTTCCTGATATGGAGTGCAGTCCAAGGGAATGTAGCTTTAAGCGTATTGGCTGAGAGGGTCTAATAATACTTGTGGTAAGCAGAAAATGCCCCCCAAAACATACTCACCCTAATTCCCAGAACCTGTGAATATACTGCATTGTATGGCAAAGGGATATTGTAGGTGTGATTAATGTTACACATCTTAAAGATTATTCTGAATTGCCCGTTTCAAACCAATTTTATCACATGAGTTCATGGAAGCAGAGGGCTTTCTCCAGTAGGAGTATGAAAGATGCAGCAGAATAAATAGTTGGATTTACTCAGCGTTTAGGAGAGAACTGGCCCACTGATGGGTTCCAGAACACATGAGAAGGAATGTGGGCACCTCCAGGAGCAAACACTATCCTTGACTGACAGCCAGCAAAGAAACATATTTCAGACCTACAACTACAAGAAATTGGGATTCTACAAACTACCGGTTTATAAATAGATTCATTCCAGATAAGAAACTAACACTGTAATTTTAGCCTTGACCAATCTGGAGCAGAGAAACCAGCCAAACCAACACAGATTTCTGAAACTGAACATACATGTATTTTTTTGTTTTAAGCTACCATTGTTTGTAGTAATTTGTTACAGAAGCAATAGAAAACCAATGCATTACTGTATGCCCTAAATAAGCAGACTTACCTGCCCAATTCCAGCAAATGATGAAAACGGGAAAGATCCTAAAGAATGGGCAGTTTTGTGGAGGAGAGAGCACCCTGCAATCAGGCAACTGCGAAAGAAACGAAGAGGTGAGGACAAGTCTTGTTTTTCTCCCCACTTTACCTATCATCAATGAATAATTATTCTTTTAGGTAGAGAAGTATCTCCAAAAGACTAACATAATGTTGGTCAAGTTCTCATTCCAGTAAAAAGACATCAGAGGCAGAAAAGAAGTATATCATTGAGATATAATTTAATTGACATTCAGATATAATTTTTGAGTCTAAAATATACTAATAAACAATTTTATTAGTGAACATAGACTATATATCTATCTGAAAAGGACTTTATTATTGACTATAAGTAGAAAGATAATTTTGCAGTCAAGTTTGGATTTCTTCATACCTGTCATTTATGCAGCATATTTTCCAAAAACATAATATTAAGGAAAGAAAAAGAAAATTAAAAGCTAAGATAAATTATATAATTATACAATGTGAACACTATTGCCAAATTGAATTTTTTAAACTTTAAAAATTATATTTACTGAAATATTTTTAAAGTTGTATGAAATATTTACTATTGTATACTACTATTTGAAATTTATGTCAACCCTAAAAGTGTGTATATTATTGGTATCAGAGTTACAAATGAATATAATTAATTTTACCATTAACCTTATTAACAGGAAGAAAAATTTGTGACTTTTATTATTATTTAGTTTCAGATTATAAAAGAATTTATTTTAATTAGTAAGACCTTTAGGCCCAAATGTTAAAGGTATAAAATAGTAATTATATGCAAATAAAATTGATTGACATAATTTAATACTGCAACTCAAAACTTTTGCTTAATATACAAGGTTTTATTTTATGTGCAAAATGTGGACCAGTATTTTACAATTTTTTCAAATAGGTATAATAAATATTGTAAACAGTAAACAATTTTTTCTAAGTATACTTTTTGTTCTGAAAGAAAATTTCAGGATAATACATTTGTGGGGTTGTTTTATTTTTTCGATAATAAGGGGTGAGATAAGGGAAAACCCAGACATATGAGTTTCAGTTCACTTACAAATTTAAATAAAATGTAAAAGTTCTTTAGCAGGCACCACTACTAATGCCATATGAGAAAAATATGAATAAAATAATGTATTTAATTATTAAAATGGGAGTGAATTTCCCTAACTATTGCTGATCACTTATTAAGAGGGTATCACATATGAAACATTAGTCTATATCTGTACTGTCCAATATGGTGGCCATTGGTCTATGGGCTATTTAAATTTAATAAAAATTAAATAAAATTTAAAAATTAGTTTGTCATTTAAAATAGCCACATTTCAAGTGTTCAATAACAACTTGCGGTGAGTAGCTACCATATTGGAGAGCACAGGTGTGGAATATTTCCATTACTACAGAAAACTCTACCGAACAGTGCTGATCAACATGCCGAAGATCCAAACTATATGATAGAGTGTTTTCATTCAAGGATCTTAAAGTTTAAAATGAATGCTAGAGATATTAAATGCTAGTCTAAATGTCTTTATGAACCAAAATAACAGCATGGAAGCTGACAAGTTGAGGGATTAAAGGGTAACAAAATCTTACCTTTGTTACACCAAGAAAAATCTTCCCCATCTCCTTTTTTTGCGTTCAGTCTCTCCCCTCCAATCCTTGCTCCTTAGGACACTTAACATGATGTCCTCAATTATTTTGGAATTGAAAGAGATGACAGAGAAAAGGAGAGACAAAGGGAGGAAGGGCTGAAGAAGAATATGCAGTTTCAGGTTTTAAGCTCCCCTCTGCAGAACTTCCACATAAAGAAGCAGCACTGAGATAAATTACCTGCTTGTAATAGGGAGAAGGAAAAATATAAGAATAACAAATGCAAATAAATATCTCAATAAAGTATTCTTCTACAAAAAAAAAAATCAAAGGTGTATCTTTACTGTATGTATTCTCACCCTTAGCTTCCAATGCCTTCTTTATAGTGAAGAACTTTTTCTAGAAATAATGACAATAGTAGCATTTGTATTATTCTAAATAATATTTTCAGAGAAATGATGAAAAAGGATCATAGGAACAGTAACAATAAATTAATGGAAATGTGGAACCGTATAAACTAGGCTAGCATACAAGTAGAAGATCTCCCAACTGTTTAATCTTTATTCTCTAAAGGAAAAAGAAAAAGCAATTTTAATCACATTACGAGTGCCTGGCCTAGGTTTTCAACATGATTAGGAGATTTCATGCATGATGTCCTAAAGAGAAGGCAATCAAGAAAATAATTTTGCATGCTGTATATTAATGAATGTCACCATATTAATAGTAGAAAAGGCACGAACTGCAATTATTTTTTCCTTTTCCAACTCTTCATGTCTTTAGTATTTATTTCTTAACAAGTCAAAAATAAATTTTTAAGAGGTATAATGGCCTATGAAAATTCAGTAAAAGTTTGGATCCTAATATATACATTAAAATGATAAAGTTTACATTGTCATTTAAAAAGCAAATGCTAACAATCTATTTGGAATTAGTAAAATGTTATACAAACAAACAATAATATTTATATCATTGTAGGAGGATTCATGATAGAGAATGATAAGTAATTTAATGATGTGTAAGGATCTTCAGTGTGAATGTCTTTAAATCAATGCAGAAAAGAGATAAATTCTTAGAATAAAGATTAAAAGATATAAAATCAAATCCTGACAGATTCAACCAAATAATAAATGCAAGCAAGCACAATTTTAATAATGAAAAATTACAACATATGTTTTTTAACAAAAATAAAAACGAATGGCAATAGCAGTGTATTTTCACATGCTTATGCTTTTGTATCTTTCTTGGCAACTTAAGGCAGAGGAGTAAGTAATTGTATTTTGTGGCATAATAGCCAAAGTACATGATGATTTTGTTTTTACTTTCCCAAAGTCAATGTGGTAGAATTGACTTTGGGAAAGTAAAAACAAAATCATCATGTACTCTGATTAAAATTAATAATAAATTATTAAACTTATTTAGAAAATTAAAAAGGAATGTTTTATAACTATTTTATATGTTCTATGATAATTTTGAATAATACCATTTAATAAGTAGCTGAACGAGACTAAAGAAAGACAATGGACAAAGATAGTCTTATGTACTCTTAAATAACTTTGACATCTGAGAGAATTTCTCTGATTGTTTAGTTCATTTGAGTTACAAAGAACAGATACAAGTGGCTGTTTCCTAAACCAATTGTGAGTTATTGTAAGGACCAATAAAAAATGTAAAGAAGTATGAGAGAGTATCCAGAAGAGGACCAGCCTGGATTTCAGTGAAGTGGATAGTTTTTCAAGATACAAACAAGTATCTCATCGTCCTATCTTCCCAACAGCAGCAGGTGTGTTTTACTCTTCCCATCATCCATCATGTTGGCAACTGAAGAATCTTTTTCTTTACTGATTTATTCTGTTGCTATCACTATTAAACCCTAAGTAAGATTTTTACACAATTTTTACAAGAGCATATATCAGATTCATTGGTAAATTATCAATCAGTACACAGTGATCTATTTTTTAACTTATACACATCATTGGCCACTAGCTAAACCATAGATGACCTCCTTTTTATCAGTCACTGATCATCCTCGGCTCAATAACTCTAGCCAGGATAGTAGGTACAATTTATGGCTTATGAATAAGGACAACCTGGAGAAGTTTTTCTTTCTATTATATTTCAAGTTCTGGGGTACATGTACAGAATGTGCGGTTTTTTTACACAGGAATATATATGCCATGGTGGTTTGCTGCACCCATCAACCCGTCACCTACGCTAGGTATTTCTCTAATGCTATTCCTCCTCTATCCCCCCATAGCCCCCAATAGGCCCCAGTGTGTGATGATCCCCTCCCTGTGTCCATGTGTTCTCATTGTTCAACTCCCACTTATGATTGAGAACATATGGTCTTTGGTTTTCTGTTCTTGTGTTAGTTTGCTGAGAATGATGGTTTCCAGCTTCATCCATGTCCCTGCAAAGGATAGGAACTCATCCTCTTTTATGGCTACATAGTATTCCATGGTGTATATGTGCCATTTTCTTTTTTTTTTTTTTTTTGAGACGGAGTCTTGCTCTGTCGCCCAGGCTGGAGTGCAGTGGCGTGATCTCGGCTCACTGCAAGCTCCGCCTCCCGGGTTCCCGCCATTCTCCGGCCTCAGCCTCCCAAGTAGCTGAGACTACAGGCGCCCGCCACCACGCCCGGCTAGTTTTTTGTATTTTTAGTAGAGACGGGGTTTCACCATGTTAGCCAGGATAGTCTCGATCTCCTGACCTCGTGATCCACCTGCCTCGGCCTCCCAAAGTGCTGGGATTACAGGCTTGAGCCACCGCGCCCGGCCGCCATTTTCTTTATTCAGTCTATCATTGATTGACATTTGGGTTGGTTCCAAGTCTTGGCTATTGTGAGTAGCACCACAATAAACATACGTGTGCATGTGTTTTTACAGTAGAATGATTTATAATCCTTTGGGTATATACCCAGTAAAGGGATTGCTAGATCAAATGGTATTTCTAGTTCTAGATCCTTGAGGAATCATCACACTGTCTTCCACAATGGTTGAACTAATTTACACTCCCACCAACAGCGTAAAAGCATTCCTATTTCTCCACATCCTCTCCAGCATCGGTCGTTTCCTGATTTTTTAATGATCGCCATTCTAACTGGCATGAGATTGTATCCCATTTTGATTTGCATTTCTCTAATGACCAGTGATGATGAGCTTTTTTATATGTTTGTGGGCTGCATAAATGTCTTCTTTTGATAAGTGTCTGTTCATATCCTTTGCCCACTTTTTGACTTCTTTTTTTTTTTTTTTTTTGTAAATTTGTGTAAGTTCTTTGTAGATTCTGGATATTAGCACTTTGTCAGATGGATAGATTGCAAAAATTTTCTCCCATTCATAGGTTGCCTGTTCACACTGATGATAGTTTCTTCTGCTGTGCAGAGGCTCTTTAGGTTAATTAGATCCCATTTGTCAATTTGTCCAACAAAACCCAAAACCAATGGGTTTTGTTACCATTGCTTTGGGTGTTTTAATTATGAAGTC